TCGCTTCATTTACTTCAACGTCGAAGCCGCGCAAATTGATAAATTATCATTGTTCTCCTTGTTGTTGTTGAGTTGAAGTTGAGCGGCCGCATTTTGCCCCGCCCACATCACAAATTGCATGCAATTAGCTCGGCAAAAAGAACAATTAGCCGCATGTAAGATAAGCACGCATAATAATATAATTTATTGTAATAATTGAGTTACAAGACATTCAGCTGCTGTTGTGGCAAACACTCAATCCACACAAGCCCACACAACCCATCACACACATGTTCGGGTCAATGCATTGTAATTGAGACACACACACTACACACTCCACTGCAATTGGGTGGGCGTGTTGGGTGCCCTCCCCAATAAAATCACAACTGTCCCACAGACGAGCTTGCTGCTGCTAACCGCTTTTTTGTTTTTTAAAATCCATGCCACACGCTTACAAATTATATGCAAATGCCGCATATCAGCGAGGAAAAAGACAGAAACGAAAAAAACACTTTGAAAGCATTAGAATTACAAATATCGCTGGTGGCATCTCCATAGCAAAAGCATTGTGGCAATGCCAATGCCAATGGCAACACCAACCAAAACAACAACAGCAACGTTGTAAAGCCTACAAGCCACAGAATCCATAAGCTGCTCGCCTTTAAAAATCTCACATAGTAATAGATGCAAAATAAATATGCAAAATCGTTTCGCAGCGAAATACATAAATCAGATGAGAAAAGTTCAAATTAAATGCAAACAGCACCAAAATCAACCACGACGACGACGACCAAAGATGAAATTGAACTTTAAGCTAGGCGTTGAGTTGATTTGAATTGAGAATTGGGAGCGATGCGAAAAGAAAGTTGAAGAACTTTTGTCATGCAATCAGCTAAATATTTCGCAGCAATTTGCATGATATATGTGAGAGAATACAACGAGTGGCGACGTTGCAACTTACGGTGGAAGTGTCAGTTGGAGTTACAGCAGAAGCACTTTGACTGCTTGGCTACGTGCTTGGGCAACAGTTTTTAATTGCAAGTTGAAGGCAAACACGAGGCCTTTGCTTAAATAACGTTAATTGGAAAATGTTCACAGACTTTGCATTTTCCATTTGCATATTCATTGCAGAAATTCATTTAAAAATGCATTCCCCCATCGCACGTGACCCATAACGGACTATAATAATAATAATAATAATACTCTACCAATCGCTAGCCGCTATTGCTCTTTAATGAGACTGGTGACACACAAAGAGCAGCACCTCTGCATTGGATTAAAATCCAATCTGCATAATCAAACAATGATAAGAATTGAATGTTCTCTACGCTCTTATAACTAGAATGGGGACTATGAGTTTTAACTATCACTTAACACTTAATGCTTGCTTTTTGTATTAAATTTGTTAAGGCTAATCTCTTCATTTAGTTGATGTTTCAGCTGTTTATGAGAATTCTTTAATAAAGTCTTATAATAAAGCTAACCGAAAAATGCCAGTCAAATATAGCAAGCAAAATTTACTTTACTTCTTTTGAGCAGGTAACAAAAAATAGATACGCCATAGTTAGCCAGTTAAATGATTTTGTTATCCGAAAGGTATTTTCATAGTCAACTAACTAATATCAGAGAAATTGATATATATTCAACAGCTGGAGTCAGTGTATCGAGAGAGTTCGACTAGAGCTATAATTATTAATCAGTTGCTTTGAAGAAAATAATCAGTTGCCCAAATTGAGCTTTCTTTTAGATAATAATAAAAATGATAATCGTTTGATATCACAGTTTTCCAATCGATCTGGTTAAATAATAATGAAAATTAAAAAATAATAATCGTTTGATTTCACAAATTTCCAATCGATCTGATTAAGTATACAGAAGCTAGTTAGCAGTTTAGCAATAAGTAAAATTTATATCGGGCATCAGTTTATTTTTGTAAATTTTGTCTCATTTTATGTACATAGTATTTGGCCAAGGGGCTTTATAAAACGATGAAGGAGTCTGTGCCATGGCATTTTCATGCTCGACTTATATTGAAGATAAAAGTGTATATAAAGCACACATTGATATATATACATGCAACCAACTAACATAATGTCAATGTAGAGGATACAGGACTCTCGTCAAGAGCTTGTTAGCGTTTGCTGTGTGCTTTGAAGAAGCTGCTCTTATCTGAGAATATACCAATTATTATTATTCAAATAGAATCAATTTAATTTGACTCTTGGCTTTTATTAATTTGCCATACGAATTAGCTCAAATAAATGTCGACTTCATTTTTCTAATTACAATTCCAATTGCTTATTAATATTGATATAATTGAAATGAATTTTTATAATATTTATTCGAATTTTCTGCACTATTTGCCATATGCTCCATCTCTCTTTCTCTCTCACAGTTGTCTCTTTTTGTGTGGTTTTCTATTTATTTGCAGTTGAGCATTTGTTGCAGCTTAACTATGAAATTTATTATGCACAAAATGGTCAGAAAATATCTAATAAAATATATATTGAAAGTTTTATTGCTACGCTGCAAGCACACACAAAATCACACACACACACATACATACACACACACTCGCATACACATACATACACACATATGTATGTGTGTGTGGACAAACATTATTTGCATTTTCACATAGCAAAGATTTTATGTGCAGTTTCTGCGTCTGTTTTCTTTTTTGTGTTTTTGCTGCTGCTTTAAGCATTTTGTTTGGAAAATTCAATTTTTTCTATACAGTTACCTAAATGTTGGGTCTTTGTTGCTTACTTTTTTTTGTTGGCATGCCCCAACTTTATATAAGCAAAATGTTGTTGCTTCATGTTTTCTGTTTCTCATCGTTTTGTATTGTTTTGCTCATATTTTTAGCGAAGCGCCTGTATATGAATATATAGTATAGAGTGTGTGTGATTGGATGTGTGTGTGTGCGTGAGTGTGTGTGTGTGCGTGAGTGTGTTACTATTTTTTTCCTATTTGTTTTAATGGAGTACAGTGTGTGGACTTTGCCGTCGCTGGCTTTGCAAATATCCTAAGGCACTAGCATTCATATGAGTTTATCGAGGGGTGTATAGTGGATTTTGTGATTTGCTCGTTTATATGTATATGTGTGGCATATGTGTGGCTGTATACATATGTGTGTGCTCTATACATATGTGTGTGTGTGTGTGTGTGTGCGTGTATATTCAAGTAGCTGACTTGGTTTTTATTTTTTTGTGTTCCAAGACGTTGAGAGGCGCTTAGTTGAACTTAGCCACAAGATTTGACTTTGGTCAACCGAAATCTTCTGGATACGGTGTGTCCATTTATGTGTGTGTGGGTCCTGCAACATGCGTGTGTTGGCCAGGTAACCAAAATTGGTCTTAAGGCAATTGCCTGGCCACCAAAACGGGCACTCTTCAACCGATGTGTGTCAGCTAAGTCTTATCTCTGATAATGCTTAAGACAAGTTGCACGAGCGGACACGAAATCGAATCCATTCATGAATATTGGACCAGTAAGTCACTTCTGAATTAAATTAACACAGCTCTGAATGAAAACGACAAAGACAACAAAGTCTATTAAATAATGACTTTTAGTCGCCACTCGAATTGAATAGAGCTGTTGCATTGGATAAAGTCAAATTTAGAATTTTAATTCGCTTGCCAGCTGTGCATAAATTTTGCTTATTGATGAATAAGTAAATTTAATAATGTTTGCCAAAGAAATTATTACCAAAGCGAATCCATTTAAAAAAATATTCAGAAACTATCCGGGTAAAATAAAGTTGTGCAACGGTAATTTGGTATATCAATTCCCGAATTCCATCTTTTAGTTCAGATTTCTTTAATTTTAGCGATAAGTATACAACTGTAAAGATATTGCCTTCCAATTGATATACAAACTACTTAGAAATATTATTGATCAACTGTCAAAATTTCATTGGGTTCGTTTAAAAAAGACAGCGCTTGAGAAGCAAAACGTATTTTCATATTGAACAAACTACTGTCATTAAGGGCTTAGGATATCTGCTAGTCGAGCTCAGCCGCCTAATAAATAACGAATTGCTGCTTATCCTTAAAGTCATTTGACGCACACACTGTGGAGTCAGAACTTAATTCGCAAGTTTCAGCTAGAGCTCTCCTCCAAAGCTAAGTTCACCCAAAGTTATTTCGCCCTGCGCTCGCTCTGCTAATCCAAATCTGGCTGCAAGCGCTTTATTTTATCTGTTTGTTTTTTGTTTTGCTTGCTTTTTTATAATATGCGCGAGGGCGAAAGTAAAAAGGGAACCAAAAAAAAGATGTGAACCTTGTTGCTGTTGTTGTTGTAGCTAGTAGTTATTATTGTTCTAACGCACTGGCCCGAATGCGACGTTCTTCATAAACAATTTGTATCTTCTGGATGCACTTTCGCCCTCTCCCTTTCTCTCCCTCTCTCTCTCTCTCTCTCTCTCGCTCCCTTTCTCCCTCTACTCTCTATCTCGATGTTTTCTCCTTCTCTGTGGAGCAGACGCTGCGATCCGTTGACAATTGTGATAAATTATGACAGCACGCGACCGATTCGACTGGTGGGTGGTGGGGGGTATGGAGTTAGGTTCATTTCACACACCACGCACACACACACACACACACACACACTTATACATCCCGATTGTCATTAATTTGGTGTGCTTTTGTTTTTGCAGGTTTTTCTTTATGTGGCGTTTTTAGAGTCGCCTTTTCCTCTTCGGGTGCGAAAATATAATTGTTATCGCTTCGCGCCGGGGGGCAGCAGCAGCAAATTAATTGATGTGCTGCACGCAACAAGACCTTGCGGCTAGATGCTAATTAGCGCGAAAATGACACACGCAAATTTCCAAGTGAATCAATTCTCACGTTTCCTTTATTTTTGTTGGTTTATGCCCAGTTTTTGCTCGCTTCGATTGTTGATTTTATGTATTCGATTTTATTTGGTTTTTCTTCTCAACTGTTGTTGTTCACTTTATTCTCTACACACTCACACACACTCACACACACACACACTCACACACGCACAAATACACTCACTTGCCTTCTGCTTTGTGTGGACAAAATCTTCCTTTTATGCTGCCTGTTGTTGTTGTTGTCGTGGTAGTTGTTGTTGTTGTTACTTGCTAGCAACAGCAACAATTTTCGTAATCCGCTTTTGGCCTAAATTTCAATTCTTACTTGTTTTTTTTATTTTATTTTTTGCACACCCTGCTGTTGTTGTTGTTGTTGTTGTCACGTTGCTCTTTGAGCATTTCTTTTTAGATGTTTTGCTTCTTTTGGTTGTTTTTTTTCTTTGTTTTTTGCTTTTGCGTGTTTATTTTAACGCGAAATTACGACAATGATGTCGGCGCCGCTTCCTGTCCCTTTGCCCCACTACTTGGTCCATCTCAGTCCGATGCCAGGCAACGCAGACTATTCACACGCACTGTAACTGTAACCGGCAAGTGGGGGGGTCAGTTGGGCACGCACCTTACCCAAAATTTATTTACTTTTGGAAGGGAGGACTGCGCAGCATCCACAACACACAATTTTGTGGAATGGGTCACGCACTTGTCTTGCCTTTTTTTTTTGCCTAATTACCGCATAAATTGCGAGCCACTTGTCAAACTCAAGTTAAGTTTGGAATTTGCCCGATTTGTGTTGCTTGCTTTTTTGCTGTTTTTTTTTTTTTTCGTTGCTCACTCACCAAACAAAACACGCACTTTCCCACATAAATATTACGTTTTTTTTCCTTTCTTCAGATTCCGACCAATTTGGCGCTAAGCAAATGAAGAATTGGTTTATCAAATTCTGCAGACGAACGAAACCGACAAAAATATCCTCAGCAGTGGTCGAAACGAAGCGCGCGCGTGTTGCGAACGACAGCGAGAACGAGAGGCGAATGAGAGACTGACGCGACAACGGCGTCGAGTGGCGCAGCCAACCACATCGAGCGCCTCATGCAACCAAAATGTTCGATGGCCAACCCACACCAACCCGTACCAGGTTGCAAGCCGAACTCATCCTCATCGATGCGATGCCAAATTAAGCAGTTAAACATTTGATTTTAATTAATGTAAACTTCTCATATTATCCCTATTAAAATTAACCAATAACGAACTGCTAGCTGTGTGATGCACTAATAAACGAGACAGCTCGACTATGAGATACCCTAAACTCAGCTGTTGACAGTTGGTTGTTCAATATGAAAGAAAATCTTATTCGATTTTAATATAATTTTCATAATTAATCGAAAATATATCTGTGTAGCCTAAATATCAGTTGCAATGTAATCAATTCACAATTGTATCTTTTACTCGAATTATATAGATATTCGCAAAACATTGACAGTTATCGATACAATGAAATAAACCTAATCAGACCTACGGTATATGAGAACTTATATTTCAAATTTGAAGTGTCCTGCCAATATAGTCTCTAAGATTGCTTTCGATTGCGGCAATGAGTCATTAAGTCCGTGAAAAATGAAAGTCCCCAGACAAAGATTAAATTGAAGTGGGTAAAAATACCAATATATAGAGTGGAGGAGATTAAAATTGTATCACATTAAAGAACTCTTATTTCGAATTCCATTAAGATTAATTGCTTTATTGTCAAAACAAGTTGAAAGCATTTGCAGACAGCAATTCACTTCAATTGGAATTCCAAAACCTGTCAGAAATTGTGGCACCCAATGCAACATTCTACGCGGACAATTAACATAACTAATCAATATATTTTAATGCATTAGTTTAATATTAAATGCAATTAGTGGCATAGCAAAAATAATCTGATGCAGCTTGCCCCAAATACAAATATTATGGAACTGTTACTGTTGCTTTTGCTGTTAACAGAACCAAACCGAACAGATTTGGCAAATGTTGCGTGTCCAACGCGAACATGTTCGACGAAGGCCAGGCACAGTTTTCGTTCGTAAATGGACCGCTGTGCTACCCGCCCTCTTCACCTCTCACCAACGATAAGCAACGATTATGATTCTCTCGCAATGCTCGTGCTCGTGTGTGCCTACAGCTGTGGCAACATGTTGCAGCAACATATGTACATGCAGAAACTTGACCTTTGGCAACAGCCTTAACTGCTGTTGTTTTGTGCAACCAATTAATAGACAACTCACCAACACACACACACACACACACACATACACGTGCGCTGCTTGTCTGTGTGTGTGATTTATTGCATGTGCTCATAAATCTGAGCTCGCAACACAAACAACAACAGCATCAAAAACAAGAAGAACAGCAACAGCAACATGCATAATTTCCATAAATCTTTTATGACTGCGTGTATAAAGTTTTTGCTAAGGCCAATTATGCGCCCAAAACTAGGCACTAATTTGACAGAAAGTGGCCATAACCCTCATCGGTGGGTTATGGTCACTCAACCCAATCGAAGTCATAAGTAACCCCAAATTCAGTTTATATCTGGCTAACCAGCAATATCATTAATAAGATACACAAACAAACACACGCATACACACACAGACACATAGGAATTATCTATAATCAAGTTAGGCAAACAAAGGGCTGACAAGACTTCAAGCCAAGAACTTGCAATGAGCTCAATGAGAACAGCTTCATTTCGATTTCCGGGAATTCTATTCTCCAAAGAGCCTTCAATCAGACACTTAATTACAATAACAATTTTATTCTTGGAAAAGCCAAAAGTATTCTCCAATTTTTATTTACATATAAATATAGCTATTCATGCAGATAATTCGTAAAATAAAGATTTAAAAGACTGATTTTCGTTGTTGTTAAAATTAATAATTAAATTCTTACTTTTGGCGCTTATCAGTATCAATCAAATATTATTAAATTATTTACATCTTTTAAGGCTAAAAACACATAATAAAATACATTTGGCTGCTGTTATCAGCATTAGCAACATAATCGTAGCAATATGTTGCTCGACAAATGTTGCCGTGCATTAAATGTTTTCTAAAAATGTGTCCAAGCTAAAATGTGGCTGGCCACATGTTTGTACTAAAATGTAGCCAACTCATACCTAGATACATGTTGCAGTTACATTTTGGGTGTTGCTTGGCAATTTCAGGTGGATTTAGCGGCCTGTTTTTGGGCCAACAATTATTCAAATGGCCAACAGACTGTTGCTTGCCGCAGCTTTGGAAGCTGTTGTTGCATGTACTCCGACAGACAGCAACAACAACAACAACCACGACGACAAACTCTACTTTCACTTGGCATTCGAAGAAATCGAAATCGGAACAAAATGGAAAACAAGGCTGCAAAAATGCAATCTACTTGATTGCCCAATGAACTTCAAATGCTGCCGGGGGCGTGGCAATTGTTGTTTGTGTGCTTGTTGCCGCTTGATTTTATGGCTCCAACAGTTTGACTGGCGCAGAAAAAAACTTTTGCTTATTTCAATTTAATTGCTTCTCAGGCGGCAAGTCAAGGCATCAACACAACCCAAACACACACACATGCATACACAACTGGTTTGCGGTGTGTGTGTGCCTCTGTGTGTGTGTGCCTCTCTCACTTCCTCTCCCTCTCCCACACTCTCTCTCTCTCTCTCTCTCGTTTGCTCATGCTTTCGCTATGTGCTCATTAAAAAAGCGAGTCAGCTACGCAGAAAAGCGACATTTGCATAAATTGCGACTGCCTGTGCGTGTGTGCTTGTGTGTGTGTGTGTGTGTACGAGTGTGTGTGTGTGTGTGTGCGAGCGCCTAAAAGCATGCGAAACGTGCCAGTGACACACAAATGTCAGCAGTCAACAGCAGCAGCAGCAGCAGCGGCAGCACAAAGCAAAGTCAAAACTTGCAAATTTTAATGCATCATAAGATTTCAGCAACTTACCCCCACCCAAATAAAATTCTCCCTGCACCCACCGCCTCTCCACCCCCTTTATAGAGTTAAGAGGGCTCATTAAATGCCATCGCTCGTCTAATGAAGCTTCTTGCCTTGTTGCTGATTTAACCAGTTTTCGAGCTGTGATTCTCACTCGTAGCGAGTATTTGGTATTTTTGATGGCCTGTCGTTAAATGGTCGTTTCCTTTTTTACGCACTCAACTAAATGTGATTGACAGCTGGACACACTGCGAACGACAAGCCGTCAGGCCTCCCCCAGCCCCTAGTGACTCCATCTTAATGTCACAAAGAGCGGCAATTTATGAGGGTGTCATTTACAGTTTTTGGCCAGCAATTAAAAGTGTCGTAGAGAAATTCATACCTATCTCAAGGCCCGAGATGAAAGTGAAAGCGGTTTTGTGACCAGGCAACGCTGTTTCCCGCTGCTTCCCGCTGGATTAACACATCTCCGACTGTGGCAGCAGCAACCCCCATGGACTGCCCCTCTGCCTCAACAGCAAACTCGCTTGTCGCATAAATCAAACATAATCAACGCCAACATTCAATATATATATATATATATATATATATATAGAGATATATCCTATGCGGTATATAGATGGGTAGCGGGGGTAGCATATAAATCTAAATTACAAACATACTTAAGACCTTGGCAGAGGAGGGGAGAACGATTTGCCTGTTGACCGCAGGGGAATTCAATTGTGGCTATTGAGAACTGCTGGCTTTAAGATAGCAATCTCTGTGTGTGAGAGAACATGCTGCTACTCGTTTGTTAGCGCTTGTTTTCCCGCTAAATGCTGTCTAATGCTGCACGGCAGAGCTGACATCTAAACGAGCGAGAGAGGATGGGATGGGGAGAGAAAGGGAGAGAGGGAGAGGGGGAAGCGCTATAATGAGGGTGGCTTCTCAAACTTAATTGCAAGTTATTGATGAAGCCCTAATTCGATTTAATATTCAATTTCGCCGGCTGAAGTCCGCTCTTATCTCGATTTCTGGTGCGACTCCTGACAACCCTGTCAGGACATTCAGGACATGCAGGATATGCAGGGAGGGGCCGCAATGTGAAGTGTCAATAGAATGATCCTTATGAAAAGTCATTGACAACACTTGCAACACAACGAAAAACAAGTGAGAACGTTGCAGTTTGCTGACTCCATCTTTAAAATTGTGGAAGATACGCGGCCTTATCAATAATCACTTTTGGCGATTATGGCTGCCAGTGTGGGCGTGGCCATACAATTTTATTTATCGATACTTAAGGACGGTTATCGGTAATATACCTTGCAAATTTGATGGTTAATATGCACAATAAATAAATATATAATTATAAAAAACAATGCTAATACACATTCAAATAATCAAAAAATATCTCAACTGTTATTTTTTCATGTGTAGACATGGCGCCAATATTTACGAAATCATTCATTATCAAAATCATGCTTGCTTCCTCATTATGATAAGCGTATTATAAACAGTTTTCATCACTAAACACTTGTATACCCTGTATATATTTAGAGTAATATTTTTTTAGCAAGCAGCTATATATATATATATATATATATATTTATATTGCTATATAACTGTAACCAAATATATATATATATATTTATAGTATTATCAATATTAACAAAGTACGAGTAAAATATTAAAGCTATCTAATGTATATATGTGGAATGTTTAAAACTCGTCATTCTTACAAGCAAAATTCAAACCTGATTGTGCATTGTCATTGTGAATACTAACCAAATTCTCTTTACCAAAGCGATAAGACGCAAGTGGCATAATCAAAACATGGCCAAGCCGGTTCCAATGCGATAAGATGTCACATTGACAGCATACGACTATAAAGTTGTCCCAGCATTTAGTGAGTTAGTTTGAATTGAAATCGCTTGGCGTTCACTTCATATTCACAATGATTGTGTTACTGATTTTGCTAGCGTTAGCGGCGCTGCTGTTCGTCTATTTGAGGTGGACGTTCAGTTTCTGGGAGCGGAAGGGATTCCCCTATATTGAGGCAAGCATACCCCTTGGCGCCCTGGACTCGGTGCGCCAGAACAAACGATCGTTCGGCTTGGCCATGTATGACATGTACCTGGCCAGCAGTAAACCCTTCGTGGGCATCTATCTTACGTTGAGGCCTGCGCTGCTGGTGCGCGATGCACAAATCGCCCATGATGTGCTGACCACGGATTTTGCCCATTTTCACGATCGTGGCGTTTACGTGGATGAGAAGCATGATCCCTTGTCCGCGAATCTGTTCTCCATGGAGGGCAGCAGCTGGAAATCAATGCGCAATAAGTTATCGCCATCATTTACATCGGGCAAACTGAAGGGTATGTTTGGCACTGCGGAGGACGTTGCGGACAAGATGATGGCTCATTTGAATGGAAAAATAGAGCAGACGGGCACTGTAGAAGTCGATATGAAGAATTTAATGTCATCGTAAGCAAATAGTCTGAATTACATAGTACGCTTGTGTACATTACTCCATCGAATTGCTCTTTCAGCTTTGCTATTGATATTATTGCCTCGACGATATTCGGTCTGGATGTCGACAGCTTTTTAAAACCCAACAATGAACTGCGTCACATAAGTAATGAGATTAATAAGCCGACTGCTAAGAATATTCTGCGTGGAACAACAACCTTTTTATATCCCAGGTAAGCAAAGGACTATGCGTTTCCTATGCTTAACAAACACAGTTGATATCAATCCCCTGTCAGGCTAGAGAAAATTTTCAATCGCTTGGGCTGGCAATTTTCTGGCCAGAAGGAAATGCGAGATCTGGTATATCACACGATTTCAGTTAGGGAGAAGAACAACATTGAGCGTCGTGACATATTGCAACTATTGCTGCAGCTCCGCAACACCGGCCAAATCAACAAGGATGATGGCGTCTGGTCGGCTCAAGTAGCTGGACACAGCTTCAAGTCGCTGTCAAAGGCCAATATTGCTGCACAGATGTTTATTTTCTTTTCGGCCGGCTATGAAACGACTGCATCAACGGCAGCTTTCACTCTATACGAGCTGGCACAGAATCCGGATGTGCTGGCCAAGCTGATGGAGGATATCAATCAGACACTGGCTAAGCACAATGGAGAGCTCAACTATGATTGTATACAGGCCATGAAATATCTGGACTTGTGCATAATGGGTAAGTCTGACTTGTAGCTTAAAGTGGTTGTCATAAATTTGTTTTACTCAGATTTTCCGTACGCTTTGCAGAAACCACTCGCAAATATCCAGCTCTACCGCTGCTGAACCGCATGTGCAACAAGGACTATCCGTTGCCAAACAGCAAGCTGGTACTTGAAAAGGGCACAGAAATTATCATATCGGTGATGGGTTTGCATCGTGATGCCGAATATTTTCCAGACCCACTCAGATATCAACCGGAACGCTTCACAGAGGAGCACAAAAACTATACGCCTGCCGCCTATATGCCCTTCGGGATCGGACCCCGTCAGTGCATTGGTAAGCACGCTACTAACCGTAAACTCGAAATTCTGAATCTGAATTTGTCTGTTCGAATTATTTGCAGCTGCCAGAATGGGCAAGATGAACGTGAAGATTGCCCTGACCAAAATACTGACCAACTATACGATTGAGATGCGGAAGGAGGTGCGCGAGCTTGAATTCACTGTTAACGGAATAACTCTGCTCCCAAAGGGTGGTGTACCCGTGAAGCTCTCTAAGAGGATGTAGCCCAACAGCACGACAACCCTATTCAACTGTGGATAATCTAACCTATACGCTCTCGCTCGAAAGAACTATATTGACCATCCCAGGCGGATAAGGATCTTCTCTTGTCTGGCAGATGAAGCATAACAATTTACATATATATAGTTTTATAAAAAAAATCACTGAAGATGGCTTTAAGATAGGTTTCCAAACGGAATTATCCTTATTTTGATAGTGGCAATAATAAAAAGAAATCTCTTTCATTCACCCAGACTAAAAACTGTACTGCTTAACTTAAATTATATTAATTGTAGTCTAGTTAATACTCAACCTTAAGATTCATTAATATTATTAATTATTAATAAATACCCAATTGTGTGCTGATCAGCATCGATATTTGTCTGGCTCCATTTTCCACTTCTACAAATCACCTTTCTGCTTATTACAGACACTTGCGCAATTTTCAATCCCCCTTGTTGACCATTTGATGGGCAAAGTGTCTGAGAAGCGAACGAATCCTGTTCACAGGACGTGCCGCGAAGGGCGTGGGGGGCGTCAACAACAAAGCAGAAATGATGATACACACCTACAGCTGTCGATCAGGCAACAACAATAAAATGTGGGCGTAGGTAGACACTATCTCATTTGTGGTCATGTTGGCGTGTCGAAAGCGTTTCAACAACAAGCAACAACAACAACAACAACTGCAACAACAACGAGACTGAGTGCGACCATATGGCAACCATTTGCCTGAATTTTATCAGAGGAAAAGATGAGCATAAGCAAATGCTAAGGTGAAAAGTGTGCGACTTGCAGATACCTCGTGTAGATTACCAGCTATAAACAGTTCAGCTTTTAATTGTTAGCTGGCACTTGTTCAATTTGAATGACAACTGGAGAGTTGGAAGTCATCTGTCAAATATATGAATTATTTTAAGCACAAGCTCAGTGTGTCTTATTCTGTAGCCAATAAATTGTTATTGCTAAAAAATCAAACCTGAAACTAAAATGACCTGCTTGCTTGAAATGCGTCTGAACAAACATAATTCTTTAACATAATTTTCTTCAATAATCGATTTCGTAAAAAAAAATTATTATTATTGAATTCTTGTGTACCGTTCTGTAGTTTCGAGATACCCAGTACAGGATACATGGTTACAGGGTATACGCAGTGCTCCCCCTGTTTCTCGTTAGTTGTTGGTTTTCTGCCTGTCATCGCATTTTTTCCCCAAAAACGCATATTGATTTTATAATTTTCAATGTGCTTATAATTAGCCACAGCTCCTGCAGCATCCTGGTTGCCACTGCCACAGCCACTGCCTGTCACAAACATTCGACACTTATAAGTGTTGTTGTTGCTGTTGTTGCTTTCTTTTTGGAGCCTGCGACCCGGCATCGTTGATTGGCTTGTCCTTGACTTTCCCATTCAAATGCCGCTTTGTCAAAAGGGAAAGTTGTTGATGCTGTTGCTGCCACCAATGGCGCCTAAGTGCCTGGCTACCTGCCGCATGCTGCGTTGCTTTTTATGTTGCATCTGCAACTGTGCTGACAGATTCACACATTTCGCATTTCACATTTGAATGTCAAATGCCAATTAAAAAACGTTCCTCAATTGATAATCTGCCAACGAGCCGTAAATAAAAAGGCAGTCATACAATTAGCCGACTAACTCAGCAGGCCAATTGTCTCTTTACAACTTCCACTCGTCTCTCTCTCTCTCTCTCTCTCTCTCTCTCTCTCTCTCTCGGTGTTCATTGGCATCAAGAGTTGGCTCACACCTTTAGTGGCCTGTGTCCAGTGCCCATTAGTGCCGCTCAGCGGCTGCCTGTCTCGACTTTCCTACTAATGCCTACCCCTATTCTTACTGTCTGTGTGTGAGTGTGTGTGTTGTGCACCCCTAGCAGAAGCAGTTAGTCGGTGTCCTGGCAGCCTCCAGGCCTCCTGCCTTTATCAAACAAACAAACAAACAAACAAACAAACAAACACAACGGCAACAACGACAATGCTCGGACTGCGCTTCACTTCGCTAGTTGGCACACACGCACACACACGGTACACACACACGCACACACACAAACAGACACACACAGACACACACAGACACTCACACACAAGTGTTTATTTCAGTCCACTTCAGGACTCTTCACGCCACAATGTGAGGTGTAAAGTTTGTTTATGGTCAAGTGGTTTGTGTTATATATATATATATATATAAATATATATATATACATACATGTTGTGTGTAAAAAACAAGGCGCCAGTACAGAGTGCCATTCTGTTGACACGACACTAATGACCACTCGGATCTTATCTGGACCTGTGAATGGCGCTAAAGTCGCTTGTTGCTTCTAAACCCCCCCTCACTCACCAATCCCCACATTCTCCTTTTTACTTGTCCTTCTCCTGCCATTCAAATGTTAAAATTGTTGCACACGTTCTGCTTTTTGCATGCGACACTTTTTGTGTACTTTCGTGTTTGCATTAAAAAACAGAATTATATTTGAATACAAACTTCCATTGTTGCATCTTTCACATAATCCATACAAAGAACAAACTATGGTCAACATAAGTGGCAAATGAAAAAAAAAAATGGTAGCCGCACTTTGCTTATATGGGTTACTTTATTTAAAGTCAAGAATTAAAAGAGCAATTCAACCATTTGTGAAATAATAGTTTATTTATTTATATATGATTTCAATATATCAAGACTGAATCACTCGATGAATATTGAATATTGAATATTGACTGTTTTCAATGAAAAAAAAAGAGGAATCATTTAAAAAGTAATAGAGACGAAATCGATTGTGTATATCGAAAAACAATTTCATTATTGGCTTACATTAAATAGAATCTAAGAATTTCATGAGTTGCAAGTCAGCTTTATGGATATGTTATTTATGTGTAGTTTTTATAGCCTGCACACATTAAAAATTGGAAGAAGGGTTTAATGAAATTGTGCAAAAGTATGTGACATAAACATAAAAGACACAAATGTAGAATTAATTGATAGACAGATTTTGTTAACCAAACCTAGACTGTAAAATTCTTGATTTAGTCTCGATTTTGCGATGCTTAAAATAATTAAATACTTAAACTCATTTGAATTTTGGCATCTCCCCTGCGACCTATCTCGACCATTGCATTTTAGCTTGCCTTTTTTTTAAATAAAATACAATCTCAAAATTTCATTACTGATTTATAGATTTTATTTATGCAAGATGAGAGATTTTTTGAGAATACTTAACAGTTTATGTTTACTTTATATGATGCGTTATACTTGGCTCAAGTGGTTACTATGAGGGTCAGTTTCCCATGGCAAGCTACCGCTCCAATGAAGATGAAGCTTATGGTGTAATTTTCATAAGCTTAAGAGCTTAAACTTAATATTCAATTAATTAAAAGCTAAAGATGTGGAGCGAGCAATAGCAAAATGTGAAAGGATTGATATTTTATGAATTAAAATTCAAAACAGATGCTTATGCTTATGTTCAGTTGGAAAATCAATTATGCTTCAGGGCTGCTTGCAAAATTTATAAAATAAATGCCAATTAGACACGAGGATATTCTTCAAAAAGCATCAATTTTGCCAACGACAAGATGAACTTGAACAAATAACTTATTTTAAGTTGTCCAACGAGAACACTGCCAATATTTGTATACTTTTTTGTCAATATGGTCAGGGCATAAGTATGTTTATAAAACGTGACATTGCCAAGGTGAGAACGTGTCAACCAGCGAGTTCCAGGTAAATATCTCTCTCAGCTTAGTTGGTTGCACTTTGCAATGTCTCTCACTAATATTCACAAATTTTTTCCTGACAATATTTTCATATTTTGTCTGTTGGACACAATGAGAGAATGCTTTGTTGTATGGATAATTTGACAGGCGGAAATTCACATGCTCGACGCAACGCTTTGTTTGTAAAGAGCATAATAAATGCAAATAAGTTGTGTATGTGTGAGTGGGTGAGAATGTGTGTGCGTGTCAGTGTGTGAGTGTGTGTGTCTGCTACAATATTGGGTGCCTTGCAACTTTATAGTCAAGCCAGACTTGTAGTTGTAGGTTTTGGGATTTGGGTGCGGTGTCTGCATTTACTTTGCTTGCTCAGCGAGAATGCTGAAAATTAAATAACTCAAACATGGACAACAACTAAAGCAACAACAACCACAAGCATAATACACTCAGAAAAAAATCTGCTTGAATTTTAGAAAATCTAGAAAGACTACTTGTTTTTAGAAATAAAAAGATATTGCAAATAAATAAAAACACCTTGTAAATAGTAACTTTTTTTTTAGAAACTTTTTAGAAAAATGTACACAGAAATTAAGAAACAAGAAATTTGCATGCATTCAGAATTTTCCTGGGCACCAAAAGAATTTTAAAAAAATGTTCCGAGTTTACGCACTTTATTTTGGAGCAATGTGTCAAATTTTGAAGCAAATGGACTTAATTCGTGTGCTCAACAAACACACGCGTGGTATTGGGTGATGGGTGATGGGTGTTGGCTGTTGTCTGTTGTCTGTTGGTGTTGGCATTCAGTTTGTGTGCTGCTCGGTCTTTGTCTATTTCACTCTATCAACTATGTAAGAGTGTGTATACGCGACTGGTAATTCGCACAATTTCCATGCCACAAAAACACAAGAACCACAAAAATAACAACAACAAAATGGCGATAGCTCGGCATGGAATTTCGATTGCCAGCGTTTTTGCGTATTCACCTTTCTGGCTGCACGGCATGTGTGGCTCTGTCTCTGCGTGTGTGCGTGTGTGTGCGTATGTGTGTGTGTGTGTGGGTGTGTGCGGGTGTGTGCGGGTATACGTACATTTCGCAATCTTCAATAAAACTGTTTGTGCTTTTATTTATTTATTTTTGTGTTTTTCTTTTTTTCATTTGGGGCTCCGCTTTTCATTTGTTTAAAACGCAAACTATTGTGCCGGATGGACGGAGTTGTGCGTGGGTTCCTGTGTGGGTGATTGGATGTGTGGGTGGTTGGGTGGTTGAGCGGTGTGGCGATTCTTTCATTTGGTGTGCTGCCCCAACTATGCGCGCAACTTTGTTGCTCTTTTCAACGCTATTGCCAATGCGCATTGTATTTGTTGGCATTTTTTATGCCTTAACTGAATGTGGCGCGGCAAGAGGAGTTAAAAAGGTGCTGGGGGCGGAAGTAAAGAGGGGGAGGAGGGGGTGAGTCTGCTCACTCAACTTCAATAGCAAAATGCAGAGAGCACAGGGCTCACTGTGTATTGTGCGGGCTTTCATGGCGGCCACTTTATTTTCATAGCCGCCTTTTTCACAGCCGCATAAAATGCAACAACAGCAAATTGGAATGTGTAACCGCAACTCGTAGTTAATTTTATTTATACTCCAACTCGTTTGAGTTTCTTCTTTTTTTT